AACATCATACCCATTCTGTGAGGTTTTTGCAGAATTTTTGTCCTAAAAATAATAAAGTTGTTTAACAAACTATCATTAAAATATTGACATAGTTCACTGTTTGTTACGAGGGAGGAGTGCACGTTCACAGACAAAGTTATTTATTCATTAACCTGTGCTGTGCCGTCTCCATCCGTTCTCGAACACCTGGCGCTTGACTCTGATATGTTTATAAGTATGACCTCTTTGAACTAAAACGCCAGCAGTCTTTTCAATCTAAATATAAAAAGCAACATCAGGTTAATGGCAAACGTTATCCTACTTGTAAGCATAAGTCAACATAACATCTCACTCTCGTGCACTCTTCTGAAAAATATATTACATGCAAAGGAAAATGTTTCTGTTTTGAAATCACCATTTTCCTGAAGATTTTGTTCACTCCAAGCTCTGATAAAGGAAACATAATAGAAGAACTTACCCAATAAATTAAACTTTTCCAAGCTGGAAAAATAAGAATTTTTGTTTGTATATTCAAATTTGGGTGTGACATAGTTGATAGCTGTCTTTGAATAAAATAACATAACAGATGGTTTTATTTTGACACACACACACACATTATACATTAAACTATCCATTGTATTTATATGTATTAAAGTAATCTTTATATTATGCTTTATATTATATGATATACAATCGAAAGATTTACCATGACTTCGTTCTGAACTCTTGATCTGAAGTCTTCCCCCCTTTTCCTCTTGTTCACAATGTACATACACTAAACGCCAAAAAGAAACGTTACCCTCCTTCCTTAATGACGGAGGTACCTATCTTCAGCTGGCGTTGTGATGCGTGGAGCCCAGTTCTTGCTCTGTCCATGGTGACCTGTCTGTCTGAAGCCCTGAATAAGTCTTATAACCGTGATACGGTGGCATCCGAGGGCGTTGGCAACAGCATTGTATGTCGACCCCATCTGCACCATCCCAATGGCTCTTTCTCTCTCTTCAGCTGTTAATTATGGCACATTTCTCGTACTTGTGTATCATATCATGCATTCTACGCTCTCGTCATACCCTATAGAATCATTCTGCATGTGAAATGGATGCAAATACTGCTTGAATATTGCTGCGTTTTGGCGATTGATATTGCTATGTGTAAACAGAAAATGGAAAAATGTTACTTTGCAAGCATAACGGTTAACAAAGATAATTGCAGATGTTCCTAAACATTTTTTTACAAAATCAAAGACACGTTTTACTTGTTTTCACTAATGCCAATCAGCAGGAAATGTTTTAAAAAACTGTAATCATAGGAATGATAATTTTACAATTTTACACACTCTACAACAGTTGTTTCTTGTTTAATAGTTGAAAAATGGTGACTTTAAATGGTTTATCATTGTCCCAAAGCAGAATTTTATTTCAACCTATCTTTTGGACATCAAAATCACCGTTAATCGTTTATTTCGGCATGAACGAATATAGGACAATTTAACTCTTCTGAAAAAGATGCTTTTCACCTAAATATGTATGCATTTGAGAATTATTTTTCGTCATTTGCATAAAGCTTTGCTGTTAAGCTTTCTTGTCAACTAATACCTTCAAACATATCTTTGATAGTTTTTCAGTAATTCATAAAGGTAGGAGGGTAACGTTTCTTTTGGCGTTTAGTGTATAACCATTTACACATAGGTATCTTCCACCACGAGACGTAGGAAGAAACTTGTAGTCTAATTGTGCATTTGCCATAACTGAAGTTGTGGAAATGATGATGAAAACTGTCATTTCAAACATTCTTATAGCATGCAATTTTATGTAAGAAATTGAATAACTCACCAGTAATCAACATAATTAATGTCATTGAGTAAGATTCCATATTTCGTTTCCTGAGTGAACACATTTCACATTTTGTAGAATGCCAGTGTCTTAATCCCTTAAAACAACACTGTTTTCACAACATCAAACATCAAAGGATTTTAACATCGACCGAAAGGTCGAACTTACGGATCTACCCCGTCTTCCCATTCTGCCCACAGTCCCATTCTGCCTACACGTTAAAACAACATGGTACGGTCTAGTGATCAGGAAGTAAGGTTAATGTGTTGACCTATTCTACCTTTACTAAAATGAACTTGACCAAAAGTCAATTGTAAGTAATACGGGGAAAATGGCAACAAAAAATAGTGTTTCTAGGTATAAGGTATCTTTATTCTTTCTGAATGCATTTCATTCATTGGAATTGACAAAATGTCATGGAATATAATTCTTATACATATGATACCACCCCTCAAGATAGCTATTCGTCCTGGGTCCAATACTGCCGAACTGTGTCCAGATTCCCACAGGAAAGCGTGCTTCATAGTCCACCCATGTGCTTGTCATATAGTCATTGAAGTCATTCTAATGGGCGTGATTGTGTTGTGTTGTATTGTAGATTTAATTTTTCAATCAGAGGTATATAACATATAACATATATGCCATATATAACATGGTTATATACCTCTGAATGACTTTAATTAACCAATCACAACCCAGCATTTACTGAAGTCATGGTAGAATGTGTTGTAGTCTGTTATCTGACGTTAAGGCGATAGAGGTGCCCAGCAAAGAATACTTGCTGTCCTCCTGCTTGAGAAGTGATGAATTCAACACGCTGGACATTTGCCATTATGTACTTCAGCGCATTAGAAATGTTCCTCTTTAACAGCATGTGCACTAAACTATCAATATATGCAAATGACTGTGGCCTTTTACTGAATAAATTTGTCTGTCTGTGTGTCACTGTACATGTATATGTATTTATGTATCATATTGGGCTATAAGGACCAGACACAGCTTTTTAACTTTAACTTGCCATTCATTATCACCAATATCATGATGTCGTGATGTCGTTCAATTTAAGGAAAATTGCATTAATTACCCTTTCTCCAAACCCAACAACATACCCTTCAGTGACTGGTAAATGGGTTGTTCCATTATTATATAGGTAAAACATCATTTCCCATTCGGCCTACAGTAATGGTTGGCAAACTGGGATGTAGACAAATTGGGACTGTAGGCAGAATGGGATGTAACCGTTTGACCCAAACAGACTTGTAGTTACAAGGATGTGTTCAGGTTTTCAGATGGTTATAGCCATTATCACCTGTTTGTGTGTTGAATAACGTTCGTTATCTTAGTGAAATGTAATGCTATAATCATTCTGTAAGGTGTAATCATTCTGAGTATGTAATACTCGTTGTGTGTTGAATGATTATCATACATGTATTAAATGTATTGTTATTAGTACAGTGTCCGGGACCAGTGCGGTCCTCTGTCCTGTAAGGGGAAGTCCCTGTGTGGCCTGTGTGAACCAGTGGGGTATTGTATCCTGTAAGGGGAAGTCCATGTGTGGCCTGTGTGGACCAGTGCGGTCCTGTATCCTGTAAGGGGAAGTCCCTGTGTGGCCTGTGTGGACCAGGGCGGTCCTGTACCCTTTAAGGGGAAGTCCATGTGTGGCCTGTGTGGACCAGGGCGGTCCTGTATCCTGTAAGGGGAAGTCCATGTGTGGCCTGTGTGGACCAGTGCGGTCCTGTATCCTGTAAGGGGAAGTCCCTGTGTGGCCTGTGTGGACCAGTGCGGTCCTGTATCCTGTAAGGGGAAGTCCATGTGTGGCCTGTATGGACCAGTGGTGCTGTATCCTGTAAGGTGGTCCTGTATCCTGGACCAGGGCGGTACTGTATCTTGTAAGGGGAAGTCGTGGCCTGTGTGGACCAGTGCGGTCCTGTATCCTGTAAGGGGGAAGTCCCTGTGTGGCCTGTGTGGACCAGTGCGGTACTGTATCCTGTAAGGGGAAGTCCATGTGTGGCCTGTGTGGACCAGTGCGGTCCTGTATCCTGTAAGGGGAAGTCCATGTGTGGCCTGTGTGGACCAGTGCGGTCCTGTATCCTGTAAGGGGAAGTCCATGTGTGGCCTGTGTGGACCAGTGTGGTCCCAGGGCGGTCCTGGACCAGTGCGGTCCTGTATCCCTGTAGGGAAGACCCTGTGTGGCCCTGTGTGGACCAGGGCGGTCCTGTATCCTGTAAGGGGAAGTCGCCTGTGACCAGTGCGGTCTGTGTATCCTGTAAGGGGAAGACCTGTGTGGTCTGTGTGGACCAGTGCGGTCCTGTATCCTGTAAGGGGAAGTCCCTGTGTGGCCTGTGTGGACCAGTGCGGTCCTGTATCCTGTAAGGGGAAGTCCCTGTGTGGACCAGTGCGGTCCTGTATCCTGTAAGGGGAAGTCCATGTGTGGCCTGTGTGGACCAGTGCGGTCCTGTATCCTGTAAGGGGAAGTCCATGTGTGGCCCTGTGTGGACCAGTGCGGTACTGTATCCTGTAAGGGGAAGTCCCTGTGTGGCCTGTGTGGACCAGGGCGGTCCTGTATCCTGTAAGGGGAAGTCCATGTGTGGCCTGTGTGGACCAGTGCGGTCCTGTATCCTGTAAGGGGAAGTCCATATGTGGCCTGTGTGGACCAATGCGGTTCTGTATCATGTAAGGGGAAGTCCCTGTGTGGTCTGTGTGGACCAGGGCGGTCCTGTATCCTGTAAGGGGAAGTCCCTGTGTGGCCTGTGTGGACCAGTGCGGTCCTGTATCCTGTAAGGGGAAGTCCCTGTGTGGCCTGTGTGGACCAGTGCGGTCCTGTATCCTGTAAGGGGAAGTCCCTGTGTGGTCTGTGTGGACCAGTGCGGTCCTGTATCCTGTAAGGGGAAGTCCATGTGTGGCCTGTGTGGACCAGTGCGGTCCTGTATCCTGTAAGGGGAAGTCCATGTGTGGCCTGTGTGGACCAGTGCGGTCCTGTATCATGTAAGGGGAAGTCACTGTGTGGCCTGTGTGGACCAGTGCGGTACTGTATCATGTAAGGGGAAGTCCATGTGTGGCCTGTGTGGACCAGTGCAGTACTGTATCCTATAAGGTGAAGTCGCTGTCTGGACCAGTGCGGTACTGTATCTTGTAAGGGGAAGTCCATGTGTGGCCTGTGTGGACCAGTGCGGTACTGTATCCTGTAAGGGGAAGTCCATGTGTGGCCTGTGTGGACCAGTGCGGTACTGTATCCTGTAAGGGGAAGTCCATGTGTGGCCTGTGTGGACCAGTGCGGTACTGTATCCTGTAAGGGGAAGTCCATGTGGCCTGTGTGGACCAGTGCGGTACTGTATCCTGTAAGGGGAAGTCCATGTGTGGCCTGTGTGGACCAGTGCGGTACTGTATCCTGTAAGGGGAAGTCCATGTGTGGCCTGTGTGGACCAGTGCGGTCCTGTATCCTGTAAGGGGAAGTCCCTGTGTGGCCTGTGTGGACCAGTGCGGTCCTGTATCCTGTAAGGGAAGTCCATGTGTGGCCTGTGTGGACCAGTGCGGTCCTGTATCCTGTAAGGGGAAGTCCCTGTGTGGCCTGTGTGGACCAGTGCGGTACTGTATCCTGTAAGGGGAAGTCCATGTGTGGCCTGTGTGGACCAGTGCGGTACTGTATCCTGTAAGGGGAAGTCCCTGTGTGGTTTATGTGGACCAATGCGGTACTGTATCCTGTAAGGGGAAGTCCCTGTGTGGACCAGTGCGGTCCTGTATCCTGTAAGGGGAAGTCCCTGTGTGGTCTGTGTGGACCAGTGCGGTCCTGTATCCTGTAAGGGGAAGTCCATGTGTGGCCTGTGTGGACCAGTGCGGTACTGTATCATGTAAGGGGAAGTCACTGTGTGGCCTGTGTGGACCAGTGCGGTACTGTATCCTGTAAGGGGAAGTCCATGTGTGGCCTGTGTGGACCAGTGTGAAGTCGCTGTACTGTATCCTGTATCCTGTAGGGGAAGTCCATGTGTGGCCTGTGTGGACCAGTGCGGTACTGTATCCTGTAAGGGGAAGTCCATGTGTGGCCTGTGTGGACCAGTGCGGTACTGTATCCTGTAAGGGGAAGTCCATGTGTGGCCTGTGTGGACCAGTGCGGTCCTGTATCCTGTAAGGGGAAGTCCCTGTGTGGCCTGTGTGGACCAGTGCGGTACTGTATCCTGTAAGGGAAGTCCATGTGTGGCCTGTGTGGACCAGTGCGGTACTGTATCCTGTAAGGGGAAGTCCCTGTGTGGCCTGTGTGGACCAGTGCGGTACTGTATCCTGTAAGGGGAAGTCCATGTGTGGCCTGTGTGGACCAGTGCGGTACTGTATCCTGTAAGGGGAAGTCCATGTGTGGCCTGTGTGGACCAGTGCGGTACTGTATCCTGTAAGGGGGAAGTCCCTGTGTGGCCTGTGTGGACCAGTGCGGTACTGTATCCTGTAAGGGAAGTCCATGTGTGGCCTGTGTGGACCAGTGCGGTACCTGTATCCTGTAAGGGGAAGTCCATGTGTGACCTGTGTGGACCAGTGCGGGTCCTGTATCCTGTAAGGGGAAGTCCATGTGTGGCCTGTGTGGACCAGTGCGGTACTGTATCCTGTAAGGGGAAGTCCCTGTGTGGCCTGTGTGGACCAGTGCGGTACTGTATCCTGTAAGGGGAAGTCCATGTGTGGCCTGTGTGGACCAGGGCGGTCCTGTATCCTGTAAGGGGAAGTCCCTGTGTGGCCTGTGTGACCAGTGCGGTCCTGTATCCTGTAAGGGGAAGTCCATGTGTGGCCTGTGTGGACCAGTGCGGTACTGTATCCTGTAAGGGGAAGTCCCCATGTGTGGACCAGTGCGGTACTGTATCCTGTAAGGGGAAGTCCATGTGTGGCCTGTGTGGACCAGTGCGGACCTGTATCCTGTAAGGGGAAGTCCCTGTGTGACCAGTGCGGTCCTGTATCCTGTAAGGGGAAGTCCATGTGTGGCCTGTGTGGACCAGTGCGGTCCTGTATCCTGTAAGGGGAAGTCCCTGTGTGGCCTGTGTGGACCAGTGCGGTACTGTATCCTGTAAGGGGAAGTCCATGTGTGGCCTGTGTGGACCAGGGCGGTCCTGTATCCTGTAAGGGGAAGTCCCTGTGTGGCCTGTGTGGACCAGTGCAGTATCCTGTCCTCCCTGTGTGGACCAGTGCGGTCCTGTATCCTGTAAGGGGAAGTCCCTGTGTGGTCTGTGTGGACCAGTGCGGTCCTGTATCCTGTAAGGGAGAGTCCATGTGTGGCCTGTGTGGACCAGTGCGGTCCCTGTATCCTGTAAGGGGAAGTCCATGTGTGGCCTGTGTGGACCAGTGCGGTACTGTATCATGTAAGGGGAAGTCACTGTGTGTGGCCTGTGTGGACCAGTGCGGTAGTGCGGTACTGTATCCTGTAAGGGGAAGTCCATGTGTGGCCTGTGTGGACCAGTGCAGTGCTGTATCCTGTAAGGGGAAGTCACCATGTGTGTGCCTGTGTGGACCAGGGTGCAGTACTGTATCCTGTAAGGGGAAGTCCATGTGTGGCCTGTGTGAACCAGTGGGGTACTGTATCCTGTAAGGGGAAGTCCATGTGTGGCCTGTGTGGACCAGTGCGGTACTGTATCCTGTAAGTGGAAGTCCATGTGTGGCCTGTGTGGACCAGTGCGGTCCTGTATCCTGTAAGGTGGAAGTCCCTGTGTGTGGCCTGTGTGGACCAGTGCGGTACTGTATGCTGTAAGGGAAGTCCATGTGTGGCCTGTGTGGACCAGGGCGGTCCTGTACCCTGTAAGGGGAAGTCCCTGTGTGGACCAGTGCGGTCTTGTATCCTGTAGGGGGAAGACCCTGTGTGGCCTGTGTGGACCAGGGCGGTCCTGTACCCTGTAAGGGGAAGTCGCCTGTGTGGACCAGTGCGGTCTTGTATCCTGTAGGGGAAGACCCTGTGTGGCCTGTGTGGACCAGGGCGGTCCTGTACCCTGTAAGGGGAAGTCCCTGTCTGGACGAGTGCGGTACTGTATCCTCTAAGGGGAAGTCCATTTGTGGCCTGTGTGGACCAGTGCGGTACTGTATCCTCTAAGGGGAAGTCCATGTGTGGCCTGTGTGGACCAGTGCGGTACTGTATCCTGTAAGGGGAAGTCCATGTGTGGCCTGTGTGGACCAGGGCGGTCCTGTATCCTGTAAGGGGAAGTCCATGTGTGGCCTGTGTGGACCAGTGCGGTACTGTATCCTGTAAGGGGAAGTCCATATGTGGCCTGTGTGGACCAATGCGGTACTGTATCCTGTAAGGGGAAGTCCATGTGTGGCCTGTGTGGACCAGTGCGGTACTGTATCCTGTAAGGGGAAGTCCATGTGTGGCCTGTGTGGACCAGGGCGGTCCTGTATCCTGTAAGGGGAAGTCCCTGTGTGGTTTATGTGGACCAATGCGGTACTGTATCCTGTAAGGGGAAGTCCCTGTGTGGACCAGTGCGGTCCTGTATCCTGTAAGGGGAAGTCCATGTGTGGCCTGTGTGGACCAGGGCGGTCCTGTATCCTGTAAGGGGAAGTCCATGTGTGGCCTGTGTGGACCAGTGCGGTACTGTATCATGTAAGGGGAAGTAAGGGGAAGTCCCTGTGTGGCCTGTGTGGACCAGTGCGGTCACTGTATCTTGTAAGGGGAAGTCCATGTGTGGCCTGTGTGGACCAGTGCAGTACTGTATCCTGTGTGGACCAGGACTGTGTGGCTGGCATTCTGGACCAGGGCGGTACTGTATCATGTAAGGGGAAGTCCATGTGTGGCCTGTGTGGACCAGTGCGGTACTGTATCCTGTAAGGGGGAAGTCCATGTGTGGCCTGTGTGGACCAGTGCAGTACTGTATCCTGTAAGGGGAAGTCCATGTGTGGTGGCCTGTGTGGACCAGTGCGGTACTGTATCCTGTAAGGGGAAGTCCATGTGTGGCCCTGTGTGGACCAGTGCGGTACTGTATCCTGTAAGGGAAGTCCATGTGTGGCCTGTGTGGACCAGTGCGGTACTGTATCCTGTAAGGGGAAGTCCATGTGTGGCCTGTGTGGACCAGTGCGGACCTGTATCCTGTAAGGGGAAGTCCCTGTGTGGCCTGTGTGGACCAGTGCGGTCCTGTATCCTGTAAGGGAAGTCCATGTGTGGCCTGTGTGGACCAGTGCGGTTCTGTATCCTGTAAGGGGAAGTCCCTGTGTGGCCTGTGTGGACCAGTGCGGTACTGTATCCTGTAAGGGGAAGTCCATGTGTGGCCTGTGTGGACCAGTGCGGTACTGTATCCTGTAAGGGGAAGTCCATGTGTGGCCTGTGTGGACCAGTGCGGTACTGTATCCTGTAAGGGGGAAGTCCATGTGTGGCCTGTGTGGACCAGTGCGGTCCTGTATCCTGTAAGGGGAAGTCCCTGTGTGGCCTGTGTGGACCAGTGCGGTCCTGTATCCTGTAAGGGGAAGTCCCTGTGTGGCCTGTGTGGACCAGTGCGGTCCTGTATCCATGTAAGGGGAAGTCCCTGTGTGGCCTGTGTGGACCAGTGCGGTCCTGTATCCTGTAGGGGAAGTCCATGTGTGGCAACCCCTGTGTGGACCAGTGCAGTACTGTATCCTGTAAGGGGAAGTCCATGTGTGCCTGTGTGGACCAGTGCGGTACTGTATCCTGTAAGGGGAAGTCCATGTGTGGCCTGTGTGGACCAGTGCGGTCCTGTATCCTGTAAGGGGAAGTCCATGTGTGGCCTGTGTGGACCAGTGCGGTCCTGTATCCTGTAAGGGGAAGTCCATGTGTGGCCTGTGTGGACCAGTGCGGTCCTGTATCCTGTAAGGGGAAGTCCCTGTGTGGCCTGTGTGGACCAGTGCGGTACTGTATCCTGTAAGGGGAAGTCCATGTGTGGCCTGTGTGGACCAGTGCGGTACTGTATCCTGTAAGGGGAAGTCCCTGTGTGGCCTGTGTGGACCAGTGCGGTCCTGTATCCTGTAAGGGGAAGTCCATGTGTGGCCTGTGTGGACCAGTGCGGTACTGTATCCTGTAAGGGGAAGTCCATGTGTGGCCTGTGTGGACCAGTGCGGTCCTGTATCCTGTAAGGGGAAGTCCTGTGTGTGGTCTGTGTGGACCAGTGCGGTCCTGTATCCTGTAAGGGGAAGTCCATGTGTGGCCTGTGTGGACCAGTGCGGTCCTGTATCCTGTAAAGGGGAAGTCCATGTGTGGCCTGTGTGGACCAGTGTGGTCCTGTATCCTGTAAGGGGAAGTCCATGTGTGGCCTGTGTGGACCAGTGTGGTCCTGTATCCTGTAAGGGAAGTCCCTGTGTGGCCTGTGTGGACCAGTGCGGTCCTGTATCTGTGTAAGGGGAAGTCCCTGTGTGGGCCTGTGTGGACCAGTGCGGTCCTGTATCCTGTAAGGGGAAGTCCCTGTGTGGTCTGTGGCCTGTGGACCAGTGCGGTCCTGTATCCTGTAAGGGGAAGTCCTGTGTGGCCTGTGTGGACCAGTGCGGTCCTGTATCCTGTAAGAAGTCCCTGTGTCCTGTGTAAGTGGTCCTGAAGTCCCTGCAAGGGGAAGTCCTGTGTGGCCTGTGGACCAGTGCGGTCCTGTATCCTGTAAGGGGAAGTCCCTGTGTGGCCTGTGTGGACCAGTGCGGTCCTGTATCCTGTAAGGGGAAGTCCCTGTGTGGCCTGTGTGGACCAGTGCGGTCCTGTATCCTGTAAGGGGAAGTCCCTGTGTGGTCTGTGTGGACCAGTGCGGTCCTGTATCCTGTAAGGGGAAGTCCCTGTGTGGCCTGTGTGGACCAGTGTGGTCCTGTATCCTGTAAGGGGAAGTCCCTGTGTGGCCTGTGTGGACCAGTGCGGTCCTGTATCCTGTGTAAGGGGAAGTCCTGTGTAAGGGGAAGTCCCTGTGTGGACCAGTGTGGTCCTGTATCCTGTAGGGGAAGTCCCTGTGTGGTCTGTGTGGACCAGTGTGGTCCTGTATCTTGTAAGGGGAAGTCCCTGTGTGGCCTGTGTGGACCAGTGTGGTCCTGTATCCTGTAAGGGGAAGTCCCTGTGTGGTCTGTGTGGACCAGTGCGGTACTGTATCTTGTAAGGGGAAGTCCATGTGTGGCCTGTGTGGACCAGTGTGGTCCTGTATCCTTGTAAGGGGAAGTCCCTGTGTGGACCTGTGTGGACCAGTGCGGTCCTGTATCTTGTAAGGGGAAGTCCTGTGTGGCCTGTGTGGACCAGTGTGGTCCTGTATCCTGTAAGGGGAAGTCCTGTGTGTGGTCTGTGTGGACCAGTGTGGTCCTGTATCCTGTAAGGGGAAGTCCCTGTGTGGCCTGTGTGGACCAGTGTGCGGTCCTGTATCCTGTAAGGGGAAGTCCTGTGTGTGGCCTGTGTGGACCAGTGTGGTCCTGTATCCTGTAAGGGGAAGTCCCTGTGTGGTCTGTGTGGACCAGTGTGGTCCTGTATCCTGTAAGGGGAAGTCCATGTGTGGCCTGTGTGGACCAGTGTGGTCCTGTATCCTGTAAGGGAAGTCCCTGTGTGACCTGTGTGGACCAGTGCGGTCCTGTATCCTGTAAGGGGAAGTCCATGTGTGGCCTGTGTGGACCAGTGTGGTCCTGTATCCTGTAAGGGGAAGTCCCTGTGGCCTGTGTGGACCAGTGTGGTCCTGTATCCTGTAAGGGGAAGTCCATGTGTGGTCTGTGTGGACCAGTGTGGGTCCTGTATCCTGTAAGGGGAAGTCCCTGTGTGGCCTGTGTGGACCAGTGCGGTCCTGTATCCTGTAAGGGGAAGTCCCTGTGTGGCCTGTGTGGACCAGTGTGGTCCTGTATCCTGTAAGGGGAAGTCCCTGTGTGGCCTGTGTGGACCAGTGTGGTCCTGTATCCTGTAAGGGGAAGTCCCTGTGTGGCCTGTGTGGACCAGTGTGGTCCTGTATCCTGTAAGGGGAAGTCCCTGTGTGGCCTGTGTGGACCAGTGTGGTCCTGTATCCTGTAAGGGGAAGTCCCTGTGTGGCCTGTGTGGACCAGTGCGGTCCTGTATCCTGTAAGGGGAAGTCCATGTGTGGCCTGTGTGGACCAGTGCGGTCCTGTATCCTGTGTGGGGAAGTCTCTGTGTGGCCTGTGTGGACCAGTGCGGTCCTGTATCTGTGTAAGGGGAAGTCCATGTGTGGCCTGTGTGGACCAGTGCGGTCCTGTATCCTGTAAGGGGAAGTCCATGTGTGTGGCCTGTGTGGACCAGTGCGGTCCTGTATCCTGTAAGGGGAAGTCCATGTGTGGCCTGTGTGGACCAGTGCGGTCCTGTATCCTGTAAGGGAAGTCCTGTGTGGCCTGTGTGGACCAGGGCGGTCCTGTATCCTGTAAGGGGAAGTCCATGTGTGGCCTGTGTGGACCAGTGCGGTGCCTGTATCATGTAAGGGGAAGTCACTGTGTGGCCTGTGTGGACCAGTGCGGTACTGTATCCTGTAAGGGGAAGTCCATGTGTGGCCTGTATGGACCAGTGCAGTACTGTATCCTGTAAGGGGAAGGTGATGTCGTCTGTGTGGACCAGGGCGGTCCTGTATCCTGTAAAGGGAAGTCCATGTGTGGCCTGTGTGGACCAGTGGGGTACCTGTATCCTGTAAGGGGAAGTCCCTGTGTGGACCAGTGCGGTACTGTATCCTGTAAGGGGAAGTCCATGTGTGGCCTGTGTGGACCAGTGCGGTACTGTATCCTGTAAGGGGAAGTCCCTGTGTGGCCTGTGTGGACCAGTGCGGTACTGTATCCTGTAAGGGGAAGTCCATGTGTGGCCTGTGTGGACCAGTGCAGTCCTGTATCCTGTGTGGGAAGTCCATGTGTGGCCTGTGGACCAGTGGTCCTGTATCCTGTAAGGGGAAGTCCCTGTGTGGACCAGTGCGGTCCTGTATCCTGTAAGGGGAAGTCCATGTGTGGTCTGTGTGGACCAGGGCGGTCCTGTATCCTGTAAGGGGAAGTCCATGTGTGGCCTGTGTGGACCAGTGCGGTACTGTATCATGTAAGGGGAAGTCACTGTGTGGCCTGTGTGGACCAGTGCGGTACTGTATCCTGTAAGGGGAAGTCCATGTGTGGCCTGTATGGACCAGTGCAGTACTGTATCCTATAAGGTGAAGTCGCTGTCTGGACCAGGGCGGTACTGTATCTTGTAAGGGGAAGTCCATGTGTGGCCTGTGTGAACCAGTGGGGTACTGTATCCTGTAAGGGGAAGTCCATGTGTGGCCTGTGTGGACCAGTGCGGTACTGTATCCTGTAAGGGGAAGTCCATGTGTGGCCTGTGTGGACCAGTGCGGACCTGTATCCTGTAAGGGGAAGTCCCTGTGTGGCATGTGTGGACCAGTGCGGTACTGTATCCTGTAAGGGGAAGTCCATGTGTGGCCTGTGTGGACCAGTGCGGTACTGTATCCTGTAAGGGGAAGTCCCTGTGTGGCCTGTGTGGACCAGTGCGGTACTGTATCCTGTAAGGGGAAGTCCATGTGTGGCCTGTGTGGACCAGTGCGGTCCTGTATCCTGTAAGGGGAAGTCCCTGTGTGGACCAGTGCGGTCCTGTATCCTGTAAGGGGAAGTCCATGTGTGGCCTGTGTGGACCAGTGCGGTACTGTATCCTGTAAGGGGAAGTCCCTGTGTGGCCTGTGTGGACCAGTGCGGTACTGTATCCTGTAAGGGGAAGTCCATGTGTGGCCTGTGTGGACCAGTGCGGTACTGTATCCTGTAAGGGGAAGTCCCTGTGTGGCATGTGTGGACCAGTGCGGTCCTGTATCCTGTAAGGGGAAGTCCATGTGTGGCATGTGTGGACCAGTGCCTGTATCCTGTAAGGGGAAGTCCCTGTGTGGTCCATATGTGGACCCCAGGCTGTATCCTGTAAGGGGAAGTCCCTGTGTGGTCTGTGTGGACCAGGGCGGTCCTGTATCCTGTAAGGGGAAGTCCATGTGTGGCCTGTGTGGACCAGTGCGGTACTGTATCATGTAAGGGGAAGTCACTGTGTGGCCTGTGTGGACCAGTGCGGTACTGTATCTTGTAAGGGGAAGTCCATGTGTGGCCTGTGTGGACCAGTGCAGTACTGTATCCTATAAGGTGAAGTCGCTGTCTGGACCAGGGCAGTACTGTATCCTGTAAGGGGAAGTCCATGTGTGGCCTGTGTGGACCAGTGCGGTACTGTATCCTGTAAGGGGAAGTCCTGTGTGGCCTGTGTGGACCAGTGCGTTACTGTATCCTGTAAGGGGGAAGTCCCTGTGTGTGGCCTGTGTGGACCAGTGCGGTACTGTATCCTGTAAGGGGAAGTCCCTGTGTGGCCTGTGTGGACCAGTGCGGTACTGTATCCTCTAAGGGGAAGTCATGTGTGGCCTGTGTGGACCAGTGCGGACCTGTATCCTGTAAGGGGAAGTCCCTGTGTGCCTGTGTGGACCAGTGCGGTACTGTATCCATGTAAGGGGAAGTCCATGTGTGGACCTGTGTGGACCAGTGCGGTCCTGTATCCTGTAAGGGAAGTCCCTGTGTGGCCTGTGTGGACCAGTGCGGTACTGTATCCTGTATAAGTCGGGAAGTCCATGTGTGGCCACTGTGTGGTGTGGACCAGTGCAGTACTGTATCCTGTAAGGGGAAGTCACTGTGTGGCCTGTGTGGACCAGGGCGGTACTGTATCCTGTAAGGGGAAGTCCATGTGTGGCCCTGTGGACCAGTGCGTTACTGTATCCTGTAAGGGGAAGTCCATGTGTGGCCTGTGTGGACCAGTGCGGTACTGTATCCTGTAAGGGGAAGTCCATGTGTGGCCTGTGTGGACCAGTGCGGTACTGTATCCTGTAAGGGGAAGTCCCTGTGTGGCATGTGTGGACCAGTTCGGTACTGTATCCTCTAAGGGGAAGTCCATGTGTGGCCTGTGTGGACCAGTGCGGACCTGTATCCTGTAAGGGGAAGTCCCTGTGTGGCATGTGTGGACCAGTGCGCTACTGTATCATGTAAGGGGAAGTCCATGTGTGGCCTGTGTGGACCAGTGCGGTACTGTATCCTCTAAGGGGAAGTACATGTGTGGCCTGTGTGGACCAGTGCGGTACTGTATCCTGTAAGGGGAAGTCCATGTGTGGCCTGTGTGGACCAGTGCGTTACTGTATCCTCTAAGGGGAAGTCCCTGTGTGACATGTGTGGACCAGTGCGGTACTGAATCCTCTAAGGGGAAGTCCATGTGTGGACCAGTGCGGTCCTGTATCCTGTAAGGGGAAGTCCCTGTGTGGTCTGTGTGGACCAGGGCGGTCCTGTATCCTGTAAGGGGAAGTCCATGTGTGGCCTGTGTGGACCAGTGCGGTACTGTATCATGTAAGGGGAAGTCACTGTGTGGCCTGTGTGGACCAGTGCGGTACTGTATCATGTAAGGGGAAGTCCATGTGTGGCCTGTGTGGACCAGGGCGGTCCTGTATCCTGTAAGGGGAAGTCCATGTGTGGCATGTGTTGACCAGTGCGGTACTGTATCCTGTAAGGGGAAGTCCCTGTGTGACCTGTGTGGACCAGTGCGGTACTTTATCATGTAAGGGGAAGTCACTGTGTGGCCTGTGTGGACCAGTGCGGTACTGTATCATGTAAGGGGAAGTCACTGTGTGGCCTGTGTGGACAAGGGTGGTCCTGTATCCTGTAAAGGGAAGTCCATGTGTGGCCTGTGCGGACCAGTGCGGTACTGTATCCTGTAAGGGGAAGTCCCTGTGTGGCCTGTGTGGACTTGTGCGGTCCTGTATCATGTAAGGGGACGTTCCTGTGTGACGTCGCCTCGCTTGACTGACCAACTAATACTAAGTCGGGATGTCCGACTCACGACGAGGTGAGCTCAACGCAACCCATGTCACTTTGAACTATGTCTGTACATATCTTGGTGAGATGGCCTGTGCTCTGTGGAAGTATATCAATGCTCATGGAATTCTTGTGGAAATGTATACATTAAGAAATGTACTATATGTAACATTCGTGTCAGCATTTAACGCTTTTTCGGAACTGAACTGTGTAATTATCTAACAAAGAACTTAATTTAGCACTCCTATATTTTCGCAATGATAGGTTTTCAACACATACATAAAACTTCTCGTGGTGACCACGATGGAAAAACATGAGTTTTTCTGACCCGTATGATCCTTTGACTCATACAAAACGACACGTTGACTGGAATCCCTGTTGATTTTATGATGATAATTGCTCATTTTAAAAAAACCCACTGATTTTCATACAAAACCATGTCGGTACAAGTATGGCCGTTCAATGTTTAATGTTGATTTTTTTGGTGAATGCGAACATTAAAAATGTCATTTTGCGTGTCATACACGGTTCAAGGTCAATATCGAGTGTAACAACCATGTGACTGTGTGACAGCCAGCACTCTCCTCCTCAAACCCCTCCTCAGCCTCCTGATCCTCTGTAGGAACTGTCTACTCCATTCCTCGTGTAAAGCAGCTTCCAATTGGGCCAGGTTTTGTATAGGAGGATCCCTTTGTTGCACACGCCCACCAATCATGTCCCAGATATGCTCCAAAGTAAGGTCGGGGCTAGTTCAATAGAGGGTTTTCAGAGTTATCCCGTGATTCCGTGCGCGCCGCCATGTTGGTTGTCATTCGCGTCCCCAGCAACCATAGCGTCACTAGCAACTATCGTCTACGCATATACGTCCGTCTGCTTCTGTCTGTCCTCTAACCATCTGTCATGGGGATTATGCAAACTTACTGGATAAAGCATCTCGCATACGATAACTCGAGAAGACTATTGTGATAGACAACGAAGATCCGTACAGGATTCCCAGATCGGCAACAAACTATGTCGACATCGAGAACTATCTGGGCCCGGTTGTTCAAAACTCGGTTATCTTTTAACCAGCCGTTAAGTACATTTAACCGACCGTTAACTAATAACAGAGGGTTATCTTGTTGTTCAAAACTCTGTTAACTTTAAACAGGTTGTTAACGTGACATAAAGTTAACACACATAAGGACCGCCGCTAACTTTTTAAGTGTGGTTAACTCGCAAATGGCGTTCATGGCTAACACTGCTTTCATGAGGCCAGTTCAGCAAAGAAAGGATAGGGTGTATCGTGGACTGGACTTCGATATTGGAAATTATTCTGACGAAGAGTTACATACGAAATTGTAACTATATGCACTTCATAGGAACTAACATACATGTTATACAAGAACATGATGCCTACGTTTCATCTTTTAACACCTGTGTAAAGGTTTATATATGTTTTACTACACTAAATGTGTGAATTTCTTCTGTAAATATTATTCAAACAAACACTTTCAAAGAATCAAACACGTACACCCTATACCCACGTATGATATGATATTGAACAAGGCTAAATGTAGATAATTAAATTAGTTTCATGAAAAAATATCCGAACGATTACATTATGATACTGAAAGTGTAATCGGCGGGATATGGTGATTGTGTATACACTTATTCTACCGACCTGCACCTCAGAGAAATTGCCAAATATGTACAACAATGTAGTATGACATCACTACCGTTGAGATTTCTTAAATAATGGTGGCTGACATGGGTTTTGCGAGGACCCTGCCCTTGATTCAGGGATGGTTTTTACATATATATGAGATGTAAGTAATCAGAATGATTCTGACTATCTGTGTATTGTTACATGTTTTTATCGTTTTCATTTTAAGAAAGAGAAGAAGCTGCCAGAAATGCCGATTATTACCGTTGTCGTTCTGCGTAATTTTGCGTCAGCCATGGCGTCACGCTGCACAGAAACTTGACAGTTTCGTATAAATAAACACATCACATTCCTGTATTGTATCTATTTTTAATTTCCTATTTCTTGCTACTATGCTCTTTCCATGCAAATGGGTGTCTGAAAATTTGAGAAAATGCTACACAGTATAAAGTCTGAAATTTTCTTTGTTTACATTTCAAACAGGTGTTGTCTTTCGAGCACAGCATTTGTTTCCACCCCCAATATCTCTCGTTTCAGTTTATCTAAACACTTGGTATTGGCGACAAAGACCAGTTGTAATTAGATTCTAAAATGTATGAGGAATTCAGTAGGGCTGGGACGAGTAGGAAAAAATGGAATCGAGTACCCGCATGTACTTACCCGAATCGGAATCGAGTACCCGGAAATGTAAGAAATACATTCGGGTCAACCTCTGAATATTCAATCACGATTTGACTGAGACTATTATAGAAACTTGAAAAAGTGGTAATAAGACATTAAAACTTACCTCAAGCTATTGAATTTACGTCTGTTTAACCAATATAGAGAGTAACACCATTACTTGTAAACACTCCTCGTTATAGCAACGAACATTTCGTTCCTGCTGCTACTGTAACTTAACTACTCACTGCACATGCACAGATAAATTACAGTCATTAAAACTATGCTCCATTAATCGGACAATACCAATGATGTAAAAACCCGTGAATTTCCGGGTTGAATATTGATCTTCAGTAACCCATGCTTGTCGTAAGAGGCGACTAACGGGATCGGGTGG